TCCTTGTAACCCACCATAACTGGAAGTACCCCACCTTAATCCTTACCCTGTGTGTATGGAAGCCTTTAGAGAGTTTTAAACTGTGTCTCTCAAAGTTCTATAGGTTGAAGTAAAAAAAAAAAAAAACCCTTTATTGCCAACAGATTAGGTGGTATGAGCTTCATTTGTGGGTGGATCTCCCACTCATTCATACAGTTTAACCTGTATCATATCAATGAATATAATTCAATTGGTATTTATCTCTCTTTTTACCCATTTTAGTGTAAAAGTGCTTAGAGCCTACAAACACCAAAATCCAGCTCTGGCTATAGGTCTGTGGAAAGAAGCTATTCATGGGTAACGCTGGGGTGCTCTAGCTCTGCTTCAATTCCTTTAAGTAATAAAGAGTAACAAGATGAGAATGTGTGGCTCAAAAGCAATGAAACCAACTAAATCTGGGGTTCTTAGGCTGGGAATCACACGATAGGCAAGAGGGACAGAATCAACCAAAACACACACTAGGGAGGTAAATGGAACACTTGTGCAGAGTCAGGGTGGTTACACATCAAAGGACAATAACAGAGGTAAACAATTAACTATTGGATACACCTGCTATTTACATTAGCAGGGTGACAGTGGTCACTCTGTGAACCCACAGACGATCCCCGGCTACAACTCCCAGCCTGCTCTGTGGTGCTCTCGGCAAGGGTACTACATTAACTTCTATTGGGTGGACCATGATTGCATTTATGTTTGTACCACTTTTTTCTTTTGCGCAAGGTAGTCGTAATGAGCCTAGCAATGGAGTTTACGGATTTACAGACAGGTGATGGAGAGGACGTACGACCACCATGTGTGGCTAAGTGTTGGCTTAGGAAAACCTCAAGCCCTCCAAACTGCTACGCTATTTGCAAACCAGACACTCCAGTTGGCAGCATAAACCCATTCCAAGTTTCTTTTGAATGAAAGATACAGCAGCTAAGTAGCCAAAAATCTACTCTCTAAAAAGCCCCCACTGTGAACCAGCAGGCACTTCAAGCATCTTTCGTTATAGTTAACTAGATTGCCAAAACTGGGAGGTGAGACTTTTTTCTTACTCTGCGGTAAGGAAGTAGTTTTAATCATGTGTAGGAAAAGCACTGCAGAGCAGCTAGCATTGATTCCAGTGATAAATGAGAAATGTCTTACAACATAGGGCGTAGGGCAAGAGACGTGGAAGAGCAGGTGATGGCCAAGATAAAATCTAGTGTGTATTTTTCTGTACAACTTGACGAGACCGATGTCTCGGGAGATTAATGAGTAGTTTTTGTTCTGTCGTCCTCTTCCTGAGTGTGCCACTTTTCATTTTGCTGGACACATATGGACGTGAGCATGAAATCAACTGGAACAAGTGTGTGCGAATTTGCTGTGACGATGCACGAGCTATGACTGGCAAACACAGTGGGCTGGTCACGAAAGTACAGGCCGCTGCTCCGTTCACTCTGTGGACACATTGTATGATTCATAGACAAGCCTTCGCAGCTAAGAACATGCCCTCCAAACTCAAGCAAGTAATGGACTGTAAATTCCATCAAGGCCAGTGCAACAAGCGCCTGGAAGGGAAGGGAGTGTGAACATTGTTCAACATGTTTGTTCCACGTGTTGAGCAAATGATGTAGATTAGGCATTGTTTTCTTTGAGTAAAGATGCTATACAAATAAAAATTATTATTGTAACACATACGGCCGACATTAGAGGTGTTACGAGCCGGCTTACCAGTGAATAGCAGGGACCGCAGGGACCGCTTACCAGTGAATAGCATGAATAGAAGGGAGATTTCCCTTTAGCTCAACTGGCTGGGTCCCTGTTGAGTGACACTGGAGGCCCGAGTTCAAGTCCCCAGCAATGGGGGCTAACCTGAGGCGGCAGCAGCGAGAGCGCATACCCACGTGAACCTGAGAGGGCTACATTATTATTAGGATTAAGTGAGTAGGCTTATAATTTATACAAAATAATAATAATTGCTTATACTTATTTGGGACTTTTCTGGACACTCCACTCAAAGCACTTTACAGGTAATGGTGATCCCCTCTACCACCACCACCACCAATGTGCAGCCCCACCTGGATGACACAACGGCAGCCATAGTGCGCCAGAACACTCACCACACATCAGGTCTCAGTGGAGAGGAGAACAGAGTAATGAAACCAGTTCATAGATGGGGATTAGTAGGAGGCCGTGACTGGTAAGGGCCAATGGGAAATTTGGCCAGGACGCTGGGGTTACACCCCTACTCTTTCCGAGAAACACCCTGGGATTTTTAATGACCACAGAGAGTTTTTTATCTCGGTTTTATATCTCATCCAAAGGACGGCGCCTGTTTACAGTATAGTATTCCCATCACTATACTGGGGCATTAGGACCCACATGGACCACATGGTGAGGGCCCCCTGCTGGCCCCACTAACACCTCTTCTAGCAGCAATCTGGTTTTTCCCAGGAGGTTTCTCATCCAGGTAATGACCAGGCTCACACCTGCTTAGCTTCGGTGGGCTGCCAGTTGTGAGTTACAGAGTCATATGGCTGCTGGCATTTTTAATTCTGTGTGTGTGGAAAAGGGGGGGGGGGGGTCACAGAATATTTTTAACCCCAAAAATGGGTTGCACTCTCAAAAAGGTTAAGAACCCCTGAACTACATACATTACTCCTTCTTTTACAGCAGTTTCCTGACTGTGTAATTTATCAACTGAAACTGAGAATATCCCATATCTGGTCAGCTCTTACAACTTAAGAAGTTCTTTGCTCTTTTTAAAGATGCTGAGTTATTTCCTCATTGAGTTTTATTCTTATTCTCTGAGTGCTGAGAGCTGAAACCAGGACAGGACATTTCATGGCAGAGCACAGCCTTGTGAACAACACCTACTTTGTTGTTCAATAAACCTAGGTGGGCTGTTATCCATAATGTTTGTTTGACTAACAACACTTACAGTATAACACTTATCACACTTGAGTGACTGAATTGTACCTTGTTTCAGGTACAGGGATCTCATACTTGTTGTGGAACTTGTGTAGTCAGATTGGAATCCATACAGTGACCCAGACTGAATTAATTGCTTAAAGCTTCATTTACAGGCTGTTTTCCTTATGTTAAAAGTCAATACTTCATATACTTTGATATTCCTTGAAAATTTTGTTCCTGGGTAAGATACACACACACACATTTAATTCAGGAAGAAGATAAAACCAGGAATTTTACAGTATACAGTAACTGAGAAAAAATATTAAACAAGGTTTTTATTATTTTACTGACATATTTTGGGGTTTCATAAAATCTATTAAAATATTAAGGTGTTCAGGAATTCATGGTTTTACATTCTCACTGTAACATGCAAGTGCACAGAGGTGTGAATGTGTACAAGGGGAACTCAACGGTTGGCATTCAAGAGAAACTGGAGTCACAGAAAGAGGGGGACACCGGTCTACCGAGAGCACAGAACTACACACTCGCACTGCAACCCAAACCGAACAACACGAAACAGTTACCCTTCTTCAGGCTCTTAACCACAAACTTTTGAACTGCACTGACTGGAACAAAAGCAAAACAAATTACACATCAGCAAATATTCTGTTCACTGGTACAGGTACATATACAGTATGTACTGGCGCAGGTACATTTACTAGTCAGCAAAATAAACTGCTCACTGAATAATTAAAACAAATTCACCAGGGTTAAATTAGGTAAACAACCATTTAAGATGTGCGGATAATTAGATGTAGCAGACTTGATAAGGAATATTCTTTTTGCTGTTTACCACTTGTCAGGGCTGATCTACAAGAGCTCCACTCTGAAAGTCACAAGCTAGTAACACGTGTGCACACTGCTGGAAGCAATACCAGGTGTACCAGCACATAAGACGCTTTAGGTAACAGTCACTGTCTTATAGGACTCTGTCCCTTTCCTCTCCTACAGCCCGGACAAGCAGATGTCTATTCACTGGTCTCTGAGCCCTAGATGCCTCATGCCAGCTCATCCCACAGCTGCTCAGTGAGGCCGAGTCCAGCCAACAGGGCATCAACAGCTGTGCAAACTGCAAACACTATAGAAGCAGCAAATGAAACTGAAAACATTTAGATACTGTTCAAGAACAGGCAAACACCTGGCAGATGATGTTTAATGGAGGCAAGTGCAAATGAGCTAGAAGAGGCTACTTATGAAAGACTGATGTATTGATACATGTAGATCTAGACAACACGGGGAAGCAATAAAAAAAGGTAAACAATTGTTAGGATATACAAATGCTATATACTGTATATATATTCTGAAAGGTACAAACTCTACTGTAAAGCCAGACTCTGACAGTCCCCAGTGAGCGAGTCTCCAGTGAAGCTGTGCTCTGGCCCTGAAAGCTCGTGGAGGCCGTGTGGCACTGGGTGGTCTGGGGGCTGAAACTCTCACCTCTGTCCGACTCAGAGCGAGCCGGAGATTTAGAGCGGCTCCGTCCCTCTCCTGCCGCCCCCTCCTTCTTGTCCCGGGAGGCATCCCTCTTGCGGCCGCTCTTGAACAGCAGGCTGACGAAGGTCTTGGAGCGCTGCAGGCCGGTCCCCTCCCCGCCCAGCTTCACCGTCTTCTTCTTCTTCTTGTCCTCTGAGGAGACGGAGAGCGGCTCAGCACAACTATTAGAATGTCTGTCTTTGAGTTTTCTCTGTATGGCCAACTGGTTTGAATGTTAGCTCCAACACCTACTTGTCTGAGAGGGTCTGTGGACACTGATCAGCACATCACGCACCTCCCGTGTCCATCTGTGTGTGAGCACAGAGTGGACTGACCTCCCCCTGGCCCTGAATGTGTGACTTCTACTGCTGGAGCCTGTACAGCACTCATTACCCTTCTTATGTCATGCTCTGACAGCTCAGAGAGCACTGCCAGAATTATCAACACTTCAACCACTGCATGATCATGGTCTCCACCCATTCTTACAGCTGTAGTTTAGTGTGTAGTGAGTAGTTTAGTCATTATTGAACAAATTGATAGCAAAGATCCCAGGTTCAAGTCAGTCACATACCAGCAGGCTTAATACTGCTGGTATTAGAGGTCACTCTTAAATCGCCAATATTTAAACACATAGAACACAACAGAACAGTTTAATAACTTATTGAGTTTCAGGAATGGAAATGTGGTTGTTGGGAGTTACAGAGTGTTGGTATTTTACTTTAAAAATGGTCTCTGAATTACTTAATTGATCAAATCCTGAAAATACAGCCCACCTAATCAAATGGCTCCTTTAATTTTGTGGAAACCTTAGCTCCGAGACAGCTCTGAGCCTAGCTGTACTCTAAAATCAGGATGTGGCACTGTTAAATCAGCTCTTCTATGGTTTACCTGGTTGTGGTAATTATGTTATTCTCCTGATCAGATCCACTGAAAATAGTGAGGAGTTCCACTCTAAGGATGCTGTTTAAGACATTGAGTTTGTCCAATCTAAACTAAACTGCTTTGGAGTAACAGAGACATGCATGAGTTTGCCTTCAGTTTATCTGGCGCTAATGGTGCATTTCCACAGCAAATTCCACACAGTCCCAGAGTAACTGCAGGTGAAATGAAGAAGCTGCCTCTTTAGGTCAGCTGAGCTGTCGCGTGAATTCAATTCAATTCAATTTATTTTTATATAGCGCCTTTCACAACAAGGTTGCACAAAGGCCCTTAACATGAAAGTAACTATACATGTTGTGAATACAGAACAGAAAATACCAGAAGACAACAGAGGAAAGAAACCAAAAACTCCTTAGTAAGGAGAAATAAAACCTCTAGGGGTCCAAGGTCTACAAGATGCCCAACCCCTTTGGACATGCTAACATTATACAATTAAAAGAAGGAAAGAATGAAAAAGGTTTTATTGTGAATGGGCACCAAGACAAAGAACAGACGCGCCAGGAGACATGACAGCCTCACCCAGCACAGTGACGTGGCTCTGGGACCTCCGGATGGGGCGGCGGGGCCTGCTGAGTGCCAGCAGCACAGCCGTTTTCGGAGATTCCAGCTGCTCATCAGCCAGGTCCCCCGTGGACAAAGTCCGGTCCCGGGACGGGACCTCATCTGTGCCCTCGTTCCGGATGGCCGTGTCCCTCAACAGCACCGTGGCCCCCAGGGTTCGGCTGGTCTCCGTGGTGACGATCTTTCCCGGCCTCGCCAGGGCCTCGGGCTCCAGGGTGCTGTTGGGCGGCAGCTGCAGGTCAGTCTGAATGGCCATCTCTGTGCGCTCGGAGCAGCTGGGCCGCCGGGAGTCCTCGGTGGAGATGCACACGTCCACCATCTCCGAGCCGAACTGTGGGAGGCTGGAGGGAAACATGACCTGGGACAGGCCGCTCAGGGAGCTTAGGGGAGTGCCGGACGAGAAGGAGGAGGCAGAGGAGTTGGTGTCCGAGCCCTGGGAAGAGGACTGCAGGGGCCCGCTGGCCACTAGGAGAGGAAACGCACACATCATCAAATGAGCATTCCCAAATCATGTCCGCCCTCAAGTGGAAACACTCTTCTTGAAGACGAACAATACGTAACAATATGTGGCGAGCACTAAAACCATGTGTCCTGCCAAACTAAAACAAGCAGCTTTGACACAGAAACACCAAGCATGAAGCAGAGCGTCTAGTACAGATTGACCTTATGTGTCACACAGGGCCAGGTGCAGCTTGTGTACTAGATTTGTGTTTATACCAATTATCTTCTAGTAACATACACATAGGACTTTTCTTGCAGACTTAAGCAACATTCACTTCTTTAAAGGTACAGATTTGTATGCAAATACTGTACATGGAGCCTGCTTGTCAGTACTAGAATTCGAAGGTCTGTCCACTGTCCACAGCAAGCAAAACAATGGAAGACACTCACACTTATTGAGCCAGCTGTATTCTGCCACCATCTCCTTGTAAGCAGGATACCTCCCAGCTTCCTGGAAAACAGGGGTAGGACAGATGTCTGTGAGACAGCGTGAGGCCCAGCAGAATTTATTGCACTCCAAAACTAGATACAGTACATTTCACAGCACAGCTCGTTTCCGATCCACACTGCTCCTCACATGTCATTAAACAGTTCCTATTAGAAGCTGTTAAACAATCTTCTCTGACAAACTGATAATCACATAAAGAAACAGAGACTGCTCAAATGTTCATGCAGCTGGCAAAAACAACTGTATGGCATACAATTGCTCTTTTTTACATTTTTGCTTCAGCATTTAGCTGTATTCAGACTTATTTACTGGCAACTAATGTCAGCTACAGTATTGTCTAATTTTGGTCTTGATCTTAATCCTGTCAGCTGGGTTACTGATTTTATTACAGATAGAACCCAGAGGGTAAGAGTCAACAATGCGTTGTCTAACAAGCAATAGTCTTCCACTGGTTTACCCCTATGATGTTGCATTGTCTCCCTTACTCTCTGTTCTGTATACAAATGGTAGTTTTCACCACTCGGTCTGCATAATTAAGTTACATACAACTCTGTTATTGTTCTTTTCTGCAAGCAGATGAGTGGGGCCATTAGCCAGTTGTAGATGCTTTTGCCACTTGGCGCTAACAAAACTATTAGAAGTTGAATGTCTCTAAGATCAGATGGCAATTCCATTCACGAGAAACCCCATTGTAGATAAATGTAAGGATTTGGGGACTGTTCTGGACTGCAAATTAAATTTTGAGGCAAATATTGATATTATTTTCAAATAAGAGCAACAGCAGCTATTTCTCTTAAAGAAACTTAAACATTTTAAAATTGATTTTAAAATTTGTTGTAGTCCTTTTATTGAATCTGCTTTAACTTTTACCCTGATTGGCTGATTTTAGGAATCTGAATTTGAGCAGTAAGAACAAACTGGGGAGTGTTGTCAAACTATGTCAGAAAGTCATTAGTGGTGATCTTTCAGCCCTATCCCACATCTATCAGTTATGAGTTTTTCCTTTCACACCTTTTGTTTAATGAAGTCCAATTATTACTCTTATAATGCAGATACAGTCTTCTCCAATTAAACAAGAACAGGTTTAAGTTCTCATTTTTAGCTGTTACCTGTGGCTAGAACCTTACTTTACAGATGATTCTTTTGTGCATGTACTGTACTGTATATGGGTGTTGTTTGTGTGTTTTCTTTATATCGTCTGCTGCTGTAAAACAAATTGCCCCTTGGAAATAACAAAGACTTTCCCTCTCTTTCTGGCAGGAAGGTTTTCGTCCAAACTAATCAACCACCGGAGTACACATGCCCTCACTTTCACATCAGTCTCTCCTCCCATGACCCTGCCATGAACCCTCAGCTCTCCCATGACTCCCAGGGCCCAAAGCTGCCATTCTTCTGTTTCAGCCAGAACCTCTGGGACTGACTGGTTGGACAGACACATTTTTAGTATCATTATTATGACAAGTCTGCAAATGTTAATGAACTATTTGAGTGAACAACAGTTTTAAATGTGCCACAATTACTGTACAATCGAGGAACTGGCTTTCAATAACATTCCAGAGGGGACCAGCCCAGGGAAGGCTCTGCTGCTTCTGTCCCACAATGCAAACAGTGGCTCAGCTCGGCAGCATATCAGAGAAGTGTCACAAAGCCAGTCTCATGACATGTTATTGGGAAACCAGCTCTTAGGACACAGAACACAGAAAACCACTTTCATTCACTGTAGAGGCAGCTTAGCTATCTTTCAACCCTCAAGCATCACCTGATGCCATGCCTACCCAGCAAGCTACCTGCAACCCTGAACATTTTACAGCTTGTTGGAGCTACTGCACCATTATATCTGTGAAGTGAAGTTTTTCTATGACTGTCATTCTTCTCTTGTTAACCTGAATTCCTGCTGTATTTCTTAAGGTGGATAAGGGAATGAGATCCACATCTTCCTTCTTCTCCGATCTGACCTCTCACCCTCTCTGGCAAACCTCTTAACTGCAGTTACCCAATCCTCTACCTACAGGTCAGCAAAGGCCACCAACTCCTTTGATCTAACATTTTTGGTTAATTTACAATTACCTAATCCCATTCCCAAACCTTAGCCTTAAATTAATGTTTAAATTTGATAATATTCTCAATCTCTACCTCCTATGCTTCCCCATACTCAATAATGCCAGAAGACACTGAAAATAGGGGATTTAGGAACAAAGCCCGCCCAAATACGGGCTATTTGTTTAACGCTAAGGGAACAAAGCAAACACATAAAACAAGACTAATAACCTGATCCCCACAGGCTTGTGAATAATGCACATCCTGCAGCTATTTTTCACAGGTGAAACCCAAGCCTTCGAGTAAAGTGAGTCACACAAGAAAGCCCTGGTTGAATGCCAGCTGTCCATCTCCCCACACTGCCCCACTGCTGCACTTAATAAGAGGCAGTGTTGTTTAACGCGCAGTGACAACAATTAATGCACGGTAGCACTTAGCCACATCATTTGTTATGTGGGTTGACTACAGAAATGATCCTTTTGAAAAGAAATACACATGCAAATGAAGTGAACCATATTTCTTATATTTCCTTGATCAAAAATTGATTTTTCATTATATGTTTTAGTTCTGCAAGCTCTTCAGCAGGAGGGGTGTTTTTTTTGTATTCACCAACTGAAGTTGATGTATTTAATTCACTTCAGGACTAACAGTTATGAACTGTTCTATGAAGCTGAACTCCCTTTAACCTGTCAACATAAATTGCTTGATTTTTTTCCTCAACTGCTGGAAAGAACCTGCTCGCGTACTGTACTGGCTCATTTATTTGAGACAGGTAATTGCAGTATGCCTTTCCCTAGTCTTGCTCACCTGGTGCTGCTTGATGCCTGTTCTTAGGAAGTTCATCACACAAAAACCCCATGATTAAAAAGAATTCCTTGCACATCTACAGTATACAGTAGCGCTTAGTACCCAAAGAACCAAAGTTCCCAAAGTACTTTACTTATAGTAAGAGGCGCCCTACTTTATCCCCCACTGCAGTGCAGCCCCACAGCAAGGCAGATCTGATCCAAGACACTGGGGTTAATACCCTTACTCTTACAAATGGGGCTACTGAACTTTTGATAACCAAGCAGCCAGGACACACATCTGAAAGAGGTCTCCTCCTATTGCACAGTGACCCTAGTTACCATCCTGGATCATTGGTTTAAAAAGCCTGGTCCAGAGTAAAGTCACATACTGGTCCAACAACACCAGGATTATGTCTTTGGATCGGTAAGCTCCTTTGGGATCTTAAACAATCATGTAGTCGGGACTTGGCTTTAATATCTCACACAGATGAGAGCACCTCCCACAGTACAGCGTAATCATTCAGAAATACAGGGGGAGCCGGTCTGGGAAACTTTGGTCCTGAGGGAAGAGGCCCACCCATTGGTACACCTATGGCCTTGCAGCGGCAACCTGTTTTTCTTTTAAAAAATCCCAGTTCTGACCAGGCCCAGCCTTGCACAGTTTCTTAGATCAGTGATCACGTTGCTGCCCTATACCCACACGAATCCGAACCCCTCATCCAGGGACCACATGACCAGCATGCCGTTACGCCCAGCTTGGCCATCAGTGCCACTGCAGGGGGCTCTGCAGCCGTTACCTTGATGGTCAGCATGATGTGGGTGTGGCTCTTCAACACCTCCACTGCGCTGCTGTGGCTGATGTCTTCAAAGCTGACCCCATTGGCGGCCAAAATCTGATCCCCCATTTTAATCCCATTTTGTTCTGCCAGGCCTCCCGGATCCAGCCTAAACACAAAAAAAAAACCCATTACAGACTGTAACACCACAGAAGATGTTGCTTCAAAGGCTGGGTCGTAATATTGGTTACATACAAATGCAATTTTCTATACATCCTCTCTTTATTTCTCAGCAGCACATATCTCAATTCTGGTTTCTAAAACCTGCCTATGATTTTATTGAAAATGTTGTAAATGATGGTTTCAAATTGGCTACTCCAGATCTGCTTATCTAATTTAACCAATGCATCGGGGCGGAGTGGTGGTTCTGTGGCTAAGGCTCTCTGCCTATGGCTAGAAGGTTGCCGGTTCAAATCCTGTGGCCGGCAGGGGAATCCTACTCTGTTGGCCCTTGATCCCTGCTTCAGGGGTGCTGTACAATGTTTATTAAAAACAATTAAATCTATATTTTTGTAGAACATCTGCCTCCACTGTTGGCACAGTGGCAACGTCATCATACATATGTTCTAACACGTGGTTATAGTGTTAGTACAGTAAACACTAATTAAAGACAATTCATGTATAATTGTGGTATGGAGTGCAGTTTCTTTTCTGGAATACGTTAGCTGAGTTATGCAGCTCTGTACCAGTCACCAGACTACTTTGAGATCTGAAGTAGTTCAGGTGGGTAGCTGTGTCAGCAAGTGTAAGCTGCAAAGGAACAAGTAACAGGTTTATTCCATGCTGAAAAGAGAAGAAAGAAAACACGTTTTCGGTTGTGGAGCTTTCTTATAAGATAAGAGAGAAAGATCACTTTATTAGCCATATACAATTTCTTGCATTAGAAATTTCTCTTTTTGCATACTCCAGCTTGCTCTCCATAAGATACACACAGGGAGAGAAGCTTGGGGGCAGAGCACAGGGTCAGGTATTGTAAAGAGCTCCTGGAGCAGTTGGAGTTAAGGGCCTTGCTCAGGGGCCCAACAGAGTAGGATTTCTTTGTCGGCTGTGGAATTTTAACCAACAACCTTCCAGCCACAGAGCCACCTCTCCACCCAAACTGAAGGAAGAACTGCTCACACCTAAAGAAGGCTCCACAGCTGAAATGTTGTGTTTTCTTTCTTCTATATACAGCATGGAATAAACCTATTACCCCTCACACCAGAAGAAGGCTCCACAGCTGAAATGTTGTGTTTTCTTTCTTCTCTTTTCAGCATGGAATAAACCTATTAGTTGTTACTTTAGGGTCTGTTAAAATATGATGATTTTGTAAAAACAAGAGGAATTGATTTTGTTCCTAGAGGTTGTCAAGAAAAGGAGGGATTCATTTCAAAGAACAAGCCAAAAAAAAGCAGACTGTGTGATGCAGAGGCTGACGTTGATGCTGCTGCAGGAGTCAGAAAAGGCTACCAAAAGAACAGAAGCATGTGGAATAACTGGAGAATTTGCTTTTTAAGAGGGCAGAGCAGCAGGCACTGGAAACAAGGAGCTTGTCTCTTCATAGCTCCCGCCTAAAAGAAAGCAGGTAACAGGCAAATGCATGCAGACCACAAGTGACCCATGGTATTCCTTTCTGCAGCCCATACTTGGAGACGTAGATCCCGAGGCCGAACTCCTTGCCACCCCGGATGTTGAAGCCCAGGCAGTAGTCATCAGAGGTGGTGTAGAGGTGCACGATCCGCCGCAAGGCTCCGTCCGAGCTGGCCTCGGAGGGCGTGCGGCCGCTCTCTTCCACCACCATTCGGCGGTGGATCAGGTCGACCCTGCGGTGGGGACACAGGATCAGCGTGTGTGCCCCGCTGCCAGCTGAGGTCACAGTTCACCGGCTCCGAGACGGCAGCTCTCCAGTGCCAGTCTGACAGGATTAAACCTGGATCACTTTCCACTAAAGACTATGAAATATGGCGCTTGTACTTTAGAGGGATCACAAAGGGTAAAGCACAAATTACAATCCATTCAGTTCGACGAACACCTGGGCCGTTAATGCAGCAAGAGGCTGGAGAAACAGTATCTTAAGGCATGTCTTACAAAGACAAATAAATTTTACTAATCATATCATACTAAAGGAGCTGCTCTAACAAGCAAGGGGTTGGTAAATGTCTTGTTATGTGAGTTTTCAGTTGGCCCTCGGCATTACTGAACTGCTGGCTGTGACTATACAATGGAACACTGGCACAAGCTTCTGAAGCATATGGCACATTGGAAATGACACGCAACTTACATGAATTAGAAAATACATTTTACAGTGTTAAGAAATGTTTGGAGTTGACAGTTAACTACAAAGACAAGTTCCCTCTTGAAGACTGTGTATTATGAAGCATGTGCACATAAACACTGCTTCAGTCTATTGGTTTGCCAGTCTCTCATGCATCCAGATGTGATCATGTGGTTTGTGCTACATTCCCCACAAGTAGGTGAGATGAACCATCAGTCAGGCTCACAGGATTATTGCATGACATTACACTATTACAAATGACTATTACAAAACCCTGGCATTCACTGGTGGGCTTTTAGGCACCAGTTACTGTACTGCACTTTAAAAAGTGTTAAAAAGGCAGAACCATCAGCTTAATCTAACCTAGCAAGAGCAAGGAAATCCCATGATCCAAGAAAGTCTTGCTGTGGTTTCATAGGCAGAATAACAAAGCAACTTCCAGCTTTGACATGTTATCATGGCATGATAACTAGTTTGTATAAAATACAACTGGGCACTAGAAAATTATTAAAATCACTTTATATCCATTGGCAGGAGGACTTGTTCTGATCCAGAGGGCAATTTGCTCTTTTTATCACCTCCAAATAAAGCCTAACACCAATCCCAAAATACATGCCAGAGGAAGCTTTTTTTTCTTTTTCTACCACCTGTAGTGTTGGGCTCTAGATTTTAAATCCTTTTTTTTTCTTGTGGGACTAATTCCAGGTTCGGATTCTGCCATGATAACCAGGTCCCTCCTGCCTGCTTCCACACTACAGTGACAAAGAGTATTGAACAGAGAGGAGTCTGGAGAGGGCCTACCAGGTGGTCTTCTCCTTAGAGAAGCGGATGCCAGGCACTTTTCCCACACGCCTCACGACCATGCGCAGGCGGTTGTTGCCCGTCAGGACCTTGACCGCACTGCTCATGGTGATGCTCTCCAGGTTAACCCCGTTGACCTCCATGATCTTGTCTCCCACGCACAGCCCAGCCTGCTCTGTGGGCAGAGTCACACGCAGGGAGTTGACATCACTTCCTCCAACTCAACCTTGACTAGCTTTAATTAACAAACCATCTGTGGGCAACTTATTTCTCTAGAAAAATGACAGCTATTGAAACTATTTAAAATAGTACATTAAAAGCTTTTTACTCTGGTGGGAAAAACATTCATCTTATTTAATCTTTACTTAAAATCTAACAAAAAATATATAACTGCACAAACTTGTCCACACCCGTACAGCTTCTTGCACTTTAAAAATTTTCACATCACTTGAAAACTTTTTGCCTGACAAAATAATGCAAGTCCATGTTATTAATGTTTATATTTTCTCCTATAAAACCAAAGGAAGCTTAATTCCACTGCCTGAGAGCAGCATTGCTTTCAGAATGAATTCACAGCTATTTGCACAGACACTCTTCAGCACTGTCCTGTGACACTGTCACTGTCACTGTCAGCAGGCTGGCTGAACACGGCAGCGTTTCTCTCCCCACTTACCCGCTGAGCTGTTGTCCTCCACTTTACTGACGAAGATTCCCAGGCCGTGCTCCGAGCCTCCACGCACACTGAAGCCCAGCCTGCCATCGGCGCTCTTGTCCACCGTGATGGTGTGGATGTCCTCGCTGTCGTCTCCACCTGCATCGGTCAACAGAGACAAGACTGCCCTGGAATGACTAGAGACAAAAAACTGCAGAACCCTGCCACACTGAAATGAGCTTTTACCACATTGACAAAAGGAGGAAGGACATGAGTGGAAACTCGTCTAAGAGCAATTCAAACTGAGAAAAGAAGGCACTTCTTTACACCAAAGTCTGTGCAAGTGTGGAACATGCTATCCATTTTATTTAAGTCAAAACCCTGCTTTCCTTCAATGAACAGTGAGATCGGATGCTTTGCTCAATTAGCTACAATCTACTAGCTAGATGGAGCTGAATGGCCTCCACTTGTTTATAGCCATTCATAGGACCGCAGAGAAATAACCACAGAACCCTGCTACATTAAAACAGCTTTGGCTTTCTGCTATGATAGCAACTTTGGCATGCAGGGCTTAACACAGAGACTCAGCCAGCAAGCTGACATTTCTGCCATAAAGATTGGGAGTAATTTGTAATACCATTGCTTCAGTGGTGCTCATTTTAATATGGCAGTGCTCTGTGCCTGTTCTGTATGCTTCTCCCTCTTGTGGGTTTTAGGGGAGCTGTTCTGAAACAAACATCTACTCTAGAAATATTCAAGTTATAATACTCAGACATTTTCTTCAAAACAGTCATCAAAACCACAAAGGCCACATCTAAATAGTAATACCCATTATGTTGCTATTGTTAGAGAAAGCACTAAACAAACCTCAATACAACCAAACCTTAATCATATGTAAAAAAACAGGTAGACGAGTAGGAACTTTGTTTTCTTAAAGAATGGAGCTTCAGGTAAACTCCTGAATACACTTCAATTCATGTGAAGATTGTGACTCTGAACTCAGTGGTGTTACCAGGTCATCCCTCAGACTTGGGTTAACATTGAGCTGGACCCAAGACTCCTCTGTGAAACACATTGAGCCATATTGGGTTTCATGAGCTGCGGGCTCTTGTATGAGAGCCCAATTCATTGCAACTGTATAATTAAGTGTTGTGTGCCACATAGCGGCTCAATATAGCCCATTTAGGAAGGACCATGAAGGACAGTGAGTGGCTCTGTCCAGCTGTCACACTGGCCCACACACTGCAGGTACAGACCATGGTCACGCTGGGCCCAGGCACACCTTGTGGTCCATTTTGATGTGCAGCACATTAAAGTGTTCTGCAGCACAGAGCTTTACAATGCAGCTGTCTGACTAGCCCAACGGATGTCCTGTGTTTCAAACATGTTATTTTGAGTTTATATCCACAGAAATGATGTATAAGGGATGGCACAGTGGCTCAATGATAAGCATTGCTGCCTCACAGTGCTGGGGGTTCAAATAGGTTCAAATTCTTGGCACACTATCTGTGTGGAGTTTGTATGTTCTCCCTGTGTTCACACAGGTTTATTGGCCTCTGGGAGAATTTGTTCTGGTCTCTGCTCATGCGTCCGTGTGTGCTCTTTGATGGACTGGTGTCCCAGTGCTTCCATGCAACCCTGAATTGGACAAAGCAGTTAGGAACTGCTTTCATTCTTCACAGGCACAACTTGCACATGAGTCTATGGACAGGGAAAACTGGGAATGAATAACATGGGAATGCCCCCCCCACTGTACCGTCGACGGGGGAGTTGATGAGGATGACCCTGCCCATGGGCGAGGGCGAGCGGAGGCCCCTGGCCTGCCCGTTGTGCTGCCGCTGCTGCCTCCTCAGCAGGTGGCGGGCCCCCGCGTGTGTGGCGCCGTTAGTCATGTCCCTGCGCGGCGAGTCGAACGATTCAGCCATGGCCCTCAGCGCCGGAGAACTTCCGGACCGAGACGGAGCGGGGGGGACCTGCTCAGACTGACCCGGGTCCAACAGCCCCACTGGTTCGGCTGAAGCTCATGTCTACTTGCAAAACAGTTCTCAAAAGAGGCCGGACCCCTCCAGCCGGACAGTAAATCGGTGGCTGTTAGCAGCAGCTCTGTGAAGAGCTTGGCTCTGAAAACACGGTCGTAAGTCACGCAGGAACTGGCCGACAGTCTCACTGGGGGTCGACTTGTCCGGGCTCGGAGGCACAGCTGTGAGGAGAGCTATAGTGGAGAGCGCGGTGGGGCTGGGGCGGCACCTGCGGGTGTCAGTGTCCACTCTGGGTCCTGAACAGCGTCTCCCAGCACTGCGGGCCAGGCTGCCACATGACGGCTGGTGCGCTCCTGTCCCCTGCACGGCCACTAGCTCCCTCCAGCGCCTGGCCATGATAGAGGGCCTTCACACGGCTGAAACCAAGAACACAGGCCGTGAGCCGCGCTGCTCGACACAAACAAAGTGGCGTCCATGCAGAGGAAGCACATGGCACGCTAGAAAGCAACAAGGCAAGAATGAGATGAAAGGCAGGGCGTTACAAAAGCTATGTTAGCTTGTGTACAATGCGTCATTAACACAAAACAGAAAGACATGAATCATGCTCAACACACTGGTTTATCTGAAGGCACACCAGATAATCTAAAAATTTGAACTACTGTGGGGACTCCTCCCTCTCCTTCGCACTGTCCTTCATCCCTGACCTCCACATCCTGGATCCCAGGCTTCATAGTCGTTCCAATTGCAGTATTAATTAAACTGTCGGGATACTGTACTCTTCTATAGTATATGAGTTCTGATTACCGCTCACATACACTAAAAATTGTGTCAACTGGTTTAATGCGTCATTTTAAGATTCTATTGAAATGATCGGACATTTGCGAAGTAATGACATTAGTGAATTGTTTTACTTTAGTTCTGTATTTGAGTCGTTACTTTCAAAACAATTCAACTTGTACTCACAAAAGTAACACTGTAAGCTGTTTTGAGGTAAGCTCACTCCTCTTGCCCGACATAGATAAAAAAGTCAGAAATGTACCAGTAACTACTGATAAAATACACCAACTCGCTCACGCCAGGACCTCGGACAGCGTTTGTTTTGTTGGAGCAGGAGTGACAAGCAAACGCAACACGGTATAACACTACACCGTGCGAATAACGAACTAAATTACTATTCGTACTGTAGATGGCTGATTGGATCTTATCCGACGTCACATACTGTACATTTAAGACTCGATTTCCTCTCAATCAACAGCTGACTTTTCTGGTCTGTGCGCAGTTACCGTTAAAATAATTTTGAGATCGCGCTTCCCGGCACCGAAAACGTTATCTGGTTTAAGCTATTCTCAAAGGATAGAGAGTCACACAGAAACGTTAACCGCAACCTGATTATAATCTGATTCTAAATAGGTCATTAAGCATAATGCAATTATTATCTACAAACTGACATCAGCTCACAGAGCTTGAAAATGAGTAACTAGGACGTATGCCGACTTTAACGTCTCACGTTCTAAAGCTCCAGCCATGTAAAGTAATTTCGAGAGCATTACCTGTCTCCATGTCGTGCACAACGACCTCACCTGGGGACGTAGCTGCTGTTAGCTAAGTGCCAGACCACCCTCTTCAATCAGCTGATTGGCTGACCTGAAAGCGATTAAGAAGGTGAAACGATGACCGGTTGGCTCTTTGAACTGCCAATCATTACCAGACACGCAAAAGTTGCACAAGCTTCCTCGTTCTTAACAATTTAAGTTTTGAAAGTAACGGGGTTGTTATCTTCACTAACTGATACAGTCCTTGTTTTTTCCTTCGGAATGTCTTTATCAGTAGGATTTTGCATTTTCTTAAAAAACTTAAAAACTTCTGAAGTTAAAGATTTTTAAAGCTTTCACCGTGCAACCCGGGTTTTTAAAATATTTCTAAATGTTATTATTAAATCAAGGGAGATTAACAAATCTTGACATTTGTCCTGCTGGAATTATTGTCTTTAATGTGATTTAAATGGGGGAAATGTAATTTATAAATACTTTCTATTCTAATTTGTGTTTTTGAGTTTCTTCTGTTAAAAAGCAAAAAAAACATTTTTTCTAATTTTGTAGTGTACTTGTTTGTCAGATTTTTCTGTGCCTTTTTTGAAATACCCATTAGACCATCAGATGATGATGAACTTACTTCTTACAGCAGGCTAGTGAGCACTGGGCATTCTGGTTGTCAGAGGTGTACTGCCACTTTCTGGTGTGTTTTTACAGATGTCCACAAGTCGAATTCAGAAAACAGCCCAAGAGTCCTCCAACGTGTAAAACTCCAGTTGGGTTTTTGGGTACATTTGGGGACTGCCTCCTAGTTTACGTCTGAGGACATGGACGGGATTTGAGGTCATTAACTGAAATCTGAAGAATGTAGACTATACGTGTAGATTAAACGTGAAGCGGTCATTTACTTTCATACTTACAAACACTTACTATATACAGTGTGTATGTGTGTATTCTGTTTTAATTCTACAACTGTTCAACATACAGCATACATGTCTTAAGTTTAATCAGAATTGATCCGTAATTATACGTAGTACAATCCCAAAGGTTTGGGATGGTAAGCAGTTTTGCCAATCGAAACCACAAATCCAAAGCTTTAGATACAGGTTTAACACAGTCTAATATTAATTGCGTGCAATGGAGTGAGAGAGTACATTAGTGGTCACTCGAACAGAAACAACAATGTCCGATGCAGATCAATCGGCATTGAATCAAAATGATTTAATTTGTTATAGCGTCTTTCGCATTTTGTAACTAATTGATGCAGTGGTGCGAGAAACTGCGTATGTGTCCCCGAAAGGGCGCGGCTCCATTAATTCAACCCAAATATGAAAGTATTGTGGCGCCCTCACCTGGCGTTGAGGCGAAGGGCAGGACGGAGACTCAGGCAGCCACTGGCCAGTACTGCTGACCATCAGGAACGGCTTTACACCGTGAAGTTTTCTTAATCCCCAGGCGCTGGCACACCCCTGTGCACCCCCTGTGCACCCCCTCTTATACCTCTACCCACTTACCACCCCATAGCCACGTACCTTTACCACAAATGATCCTTGTGTGTTGCAGCCTGTTTTCACCGGCTTTTCTTTGCTGTTGTTGCTGTGTAGTGGTATGTGCTTTTATGTTTGTTTGAAAATAATAAAGAAATAAAAATAAAGCACCGTGTCCCTGTTTGCATTCACGCCGACCTGATTGTTGCACTACAATTGGTGTCAGGAGGAGGACAGATGGACGGTGATCTGCGACACGACAGACTCTGAGAAGCGTCAGTTCCCTCAGCAGTGAAGGGGCAGCAGCCGCCTGCAGCCAGAGGTCGGAGTGGCTCTTTGGCACCAACGGTGGCCACAGCCCTAATGAGGGCTACCCAACAGCAGCTCACCCGGCGAAGGAGGGATTATTCCCCGCAGAGGAGACGGCCAGCACGGCAACGGCGGGTCACCTGTCACCACTGTGGAGAGAGGGGGCCTAAAGGGGGGCAGGCTGCCCTTGAACGACACCACCCCCACTCCGGAGAGCCAAGAGAAGTTCTACACCCCGCCTGCCACTGTGGGAAGGATTGGCCACAGCGGGGGTTTGTTTCTTCCCTGCCTCACTGAGGGCAGACCCTGGTCAACAG